CAGGCCGCCAGGTCGACGTCTGTGCCAGGCCGCCAGGTTGACGTCTGTGCCAGGCCGCCAGGTCGTGCCTGGGCCAGGCCGTCAGGTCGGCGCCCGTGCCAGGCTGCCAGGTGAAACACCACCAACTTGACTAAGACAATTTGTTGCCTAAATGATTCCAGGTGTTACCTATTTGTTTCCAGTGTCACCATGTCAGTGTTGGGCCAAATCCGCCCTCATCACCTCTCAAACGTATTAATTAATTTGGAACTTTGGATGAAACCAAATCCAACACCTAACGTACATTGAAGCTCATGAGAACTTGACACATTAATGAGAGAGAGAAAAGATCTTCTGGTCGGATCATTCATCAATGACGTGTACGCCAAGATTCTTTCACGTGGCAAATTGGTTCAAGGTCTAAAATGGCCCCACATTTTCTTTCACTCACTTGGAGAAAGAGTATTAAATTGATGGTAAACCCAAAGGATCTCCTAGTTGGTGGATGGATAAAATTGGGCACACCATTTTGGACATATCAGTGCATATATAGGAGAATAAAGCAATTTGTGACCATCAAACCTTAGAAACAGGTACCATAACTGTTAAACCTAAAAGCTTAACGTGAGGTCCTGAATACGGTTTTTTTTATAGTTATTCAACTTAAAATCTTGGGAAAATTCCCGATCAATATTTTGGCTCGAGTGATAATTTGGTCTCTGAATTTTAAAATATAATAATTTAGTACCTATTGTTAATGGATTGTCAATCATGCATATTACGTGATCTTATGTATGATTTAAGATTTTTAAAATTGTCAAAATTATCCTTATAAATAAAATACACTATTTTTCTATTCATCATCTTCTTCCTCAAATGAAACAAAGTCCAAGTTCTCTGCCACAAATCAGCAATCTACAAATTCATATATTCATCTACACATAAACACCCCCAAAACTAACTTTTCATTTCACAAACACCATTTCTTAGATCTTTGGAAGTTAGTAATAAAAAGGAAAAAGCCCAAGAAAATTTATCAATAATAATATGAGTATTATTATTATAGACTCTCGCATTATAGAGATCTATATATAAGAGATCCATATGAAACTCAAGAACACAAGCACGAAAAGAAAAAAAAAAGGAAAGTTAAGGTGATGAGCTGAGAAGAAAGCGTTTTCATCTACCACTATTGTTAACATTCATCTTCTCGAAATAGCGAATTGAGAGGAGAGACAGGGAGAGCTGAATCTCATCTTTTCCCCAATGAACTGGTGTTTTTGATGGAATTACCGGAGCTAGAAACGAAGACGAGAGAGAGGAAGTAGACAATGATGATGATGTGGCCCACGAAAATAGTGACAATGATGGAGGTAGTTTTAAGAGGGGCCAGAGGCAGTGAGAATGGAGGCCGCGAAAACCTCTGAGAGAAAGAACCACGGAACGGAGCTGTTGATTGCGTAATTGATGTTCATCCAGTGTCGGGTGCAGACCAACTCCCACAACCGCTCATCATGGGCCGTCCAATGCCACTGTTTGTTAACGGAAGACGCAATCGCAAGTGACCCCGCATCCAAGTGCTTCAGCACCTCGAAGAGCAGATCCTCATCAAGAAGCACAAACCTAGTCTCTTGACTACTCTCCTCCTCTTCTTGTTCACTCCTATTGTTGTTCCTCCTATTTTTTTTTTTTTTGTCATCAACTGTCGGATCTTCGTCGATCATGAGTGTTCTCTTCATCTCAAAATACAACCAATCAAAAACAAAATGCCCCAAGGAAATTTTCGATCTCAGAAGTTTGGGTCTAGGACTCTTCTCATTCCCTACTCTCTGCTCGCTGATTCCGTCGCTCTACTCTAAAATTAGCTTTTGTTTGATAAATAATGGAGAATAGAATAGAGATCCCCAGCCCCAAAGTCCCCAACCTCAGTGCTTAGTAATTCATCTTGTTTGGTTGAGTTATTAAAATATTTAGGACTGGTATTTAACCAAATAACGAAGGGTGCCACTGATGGATAGGCATTTGTGTCTTTTCACATCACTTAAAAGCGGGTACTAAATTGTCGGGCTTTAAAAATTTAGGTATTAGATTATCATATTTTAAAGTTTAGGAACCAAATTGTCCCTCGAGCTAAAATACAAGGTAGTGATGGAGAACTTTCCATAAAATCTTTAGAGCTTTGAATGACTATTCTCTAACAATTTCAATACTTTAATCAAAAAGTGGTTTCAGGAAATTTGTTATGTGTCTTCATTTCCAAGGAATACCTTACCCATTCCA